GTGTTCCTGTGAATTCTAGGAAGGGTGCAACTAGGGAAAAAATAAGTCTCAAGCAGGGAGAGGCAGCAGTTTGAGTAAGCTGCTCTTAGACAGCAAAGACATTGCCCAGGAGAGAAAGAGGGGCCCAGCTACATAAAAACTTCCAATAGGACTTTGTTTGTCAGAAGTAAAGAGACAGACAATCCATCAGAATCTGATTTCCAATGAAGCACTCACTCTTCAGTCATACAAAACCCACTCAGCCACAAGATATGAATTCAACGGAAACAGGTTGTCTTAGGTTCAGTGCTTTGTATGGGCTTGTTTTTTCTGTTCATCTCTCAGAAAGAGCTCTTCTGCACCAAAAATTCAGCTTGCCAGACAAGTTAACAATGTCAGGAGCAGCCTTGGCAGAAGTTCTGCCTCAGAGCACATCTATTATTCACAGGGTTTGCAGAGTGCAGGGATATACAGAAGTCATGTCCTGCCGAGGCACAGAATGTCTCAATGACAGACAGAAGGAGAATAACAATATTTTCTTCCAAGGCACATGTGGCCCTGAGCATCTCTAGGGATGTGCATTTGGTAGCTGATTGGAAACAGACTTATTTTATTTCTGCCTGCATAGAAAGCCCTGATTTTTTTTTTTAAGAAGCCAGGAAAAAAAAGAAGTAAAACATGTTTTCAGCAAGCTAGGACACGTCCTCATTCCTTTCTTTCCACTCACAGGAGCATTATGAGTGGGCAGGGAGGCTTGTGCAGTGGGTGTGTTGCAAAAACTGTTGTGAATTGGCACTACTTGAATGACAAGGTGCGTTGGAAAATAATGAGTTACAGGACTAATTGCAGCCAGTGGTGGTGACTGATCTAGTTATTCACGACTGCTTTATACCAAATGCTACTCTGTCATTTTCACGCTACCAAGCACTCAAAAAAATAGTAATAAGAAAATTCCGTCTGGCTAGTGCGAGGGCGATGCTACCACCAGGTGCCACTCTCGCTCCACGGGGAATATGAGGAGCCTGGAAGGCTGGGCACCGTTGGCAGGAAAAGCCAAATCGGGCAGCCCTCACTCATTGTGTCCGTCTCTGGATTTTCCTACCGGCTGTACGTAGCTGGGACAGCAGCTTCTCCCCATCCTCCATTAAGGAGGATGCTGGAAAACCGTGAGTACCTCTAACCTGGTCTACATTTGTTTGCCAGCGGCGCTTTTGCACAGGGAGGCAGAGATGGAGATGGAAAACTGGAAAGCTGAAAAGCTGCTGCTTGAGAAGGCTGCAGCCTCTTTGACCATCTCCTCATTTTGCCTTACATGGGAGAAGTTGGTGCTTCCTGCAGCCCATGTCCTGATGAACACCCTCTTATTTAGCACTGAACAAAGATTTTGTAGCTGTTTGGAGTGCAAGAGCTGCCCCTTCAGTTCTGGCCATGGATTTCAAGCCCAAGGTTTCCACCATGTAGACTTCCTGGTTTTGCTCATCTTGTGGGCACAATTTTCTGTCTCCTAGGGAACAGGGTCCTGGCTTTTCCTGGTCCTCATGTTCACTCCTGAATGAAATCAATCCTTCCTGGAGCCACAGCCACTGCCAGTCTCTTGGGCTCCAAGTACACTGGTTTTCATGGAAACAGATTTTCCTACCTGCTTACCACTATGAGACTTGTCAAAAAGGCTAACTGGTGTTACCAGTGCCTTCAGGGGACAGTCTGTGATGGTGTGCCATAAGCAACATATTCTTCAAGATGAAGAGGGTGAGGAAGCACAGTTTGCACTTTTCACTCTTGATTTTTCTGTTTTGGTGATCGAGCTGATGTTTGAGTGCAGCAGTGTTTGAGAAGCAAAGGGCTTCTAGAGCTCCTAGGGTCAGATGGGCACCAAGTGTACTTCTGATGTAACCCCAGTTCACTTCAATAAGTTCTGTTTTGCCTTCTGCTTGTCTTGCTTCTATCTTTCTGCAGGTCTCCATTCTGTCCTGCCCTTAAATGACTCATTAGACTTGTTTTCTGAGGTAGCCTGTAACATCCTGATTCACTTCCCTAATCAGATCTCTTTCCATTTGAGTTCCCCATGGGCTAAACAAGCCTGACATTGCCCTTCTTGTCTACTGGTTTATCCTTTCTGTGTTTACCTTTTTTCTTCCCGGTTCATGAATAAACATGTTAAATACAAGGTCACTGGGAGCTGCTGATTTCCAAACCCAGGAGCTAGTGATATTTCAAGATCAATTCAATTATGTGATTATGTTTCCCTTACTGAGTCTTCTCAGGGAAATCATTTGTCACAGAACAGCAGGCTCCAGCTTCCTGTAACCCTCTTAAATCAATCCCATCATATCACAGAAACCTTATTTTAATATCTTCCATTGTAATTGTTTAATTGTTTACTTGAAGGAGCCTTCCTGATGTACTTAGTAGCAATCAGGTTTTTAAAATAGATTACTAATTTTAAACAAAAGAGCTAAAAATGCTACCCCCCATCAGCAAAGAAACATCCAAACAAATCCAGATTTTCTGGGAAAATTATGAACTGAAAAATCTGTTGAAAACTGTCAGTCCCATATTGATTTTGGCCAGCTGTTTGGGGTCCTTCAGGTAGTGAGTGAGGTACCCCACTTAGGGTTAATAGGAGTTTACAATATTTTGCAGGGTGAAAACTGGGGAATGCAATGCCCTTGTTTGAATCTAGAGTGATTATACCCATGGAGACTTTTGCAAGCATATTTTCATGTTCTTGTTCTGATGTGCTCCTAGAGAAAACTGGATCAACTTATCTGCAGAAGCCTTAAAAATATTTTAATCTGCTGTCTTATGTTTTACATGTGTCCTGCAAAACCTATGCTTCTGTTAGGACAGGATGATGTGTTTGTTGAGCTCAAAGTGGTATTTCCTAGGAAAAAAAAAAAAGAATCTCAAGAAATCCAAGTAATTGGCTTGGGATCCTGAATCATATCTGATGTGAAGGATTCATGTCAGGGTAGGAAAGGAGCAAATATGCTGTGGCCTTTTCAACAATGTCCAATGCAGCTGTTTGTACAAGGTGGAGAAGTAGCTGCTATTTCTAATATAGTGGGTTTTTTTTGTTTAGCTTGGAGGCTGCTGCTATCTGCACACCTGTCCAGTGATGAGGACTCTATCCTGGCTGTGGCAGTTTTTGGTTAGCTAGAACATTTCACTCCAGAGTGAACACTTTCTTTTTAGTATCTAGCATCAAAGTCCTTCTACAGTCCAGCCTATTGGCATGTTTCAGTGTAGAGAACAATCATCTATAGATTTGTCTGCACCTGCAGACAGACCTACCTGTTCTGCAGAACAAGTTCTCCCTGCCAGGGAGTTTCAAATGCAAAGCTATTGCTCGAATAATCACAATGGCTGATCAAAATTTGCACTTTGTTTTCCCCTTTCACCTCTGTTCCCAAGAGAATTGTGCTTGTGCAAGCAAGAAAGCAAATATCTCTGATGGTTTTCTGTATGCCTAGTCCAGCTTGCCTCTTTAGAAAGGCTCTTTGCCCATTCTTAATCAGGAATTATCTATGGAATTAGCCCTGGATCTCCTGCTCCATCAGAAGCATCTGATCTCATCTTCCACCCCTGCTCCCTAGTTTAACAAGCTGGGTGAGCCCAGTATGTGCCATCAGAGTGTTGGTTTTTCACACGAGGTCCCTCAGTGTGGTGAAGAAAAGGCAGTAATGGAAAGAACTGCTCATGTCTCAAGGTTGGGGAAAATGCAGTGTGCCAGCCTGGGTGTTCTTTCTAGTTCTTGTGTCATATGAAGGCAATACAGTGTTGCCAAAACTGCCTTTTTTGTCCAGGCCAAAAACCTAGCTGTGATCACATCATGGGGAAAAAAACCCAGTGACTGTAACTCCTGAAAAGACAAACAAGCACTGCCTGTAGAAAAAAATAAAACAAAACAAAACCCCGTGCATTTAAATGACCAGCTGTGCATCCAGTGATGCCTTTGTCTACTGGGTTGAATGCCTCTCCTAAAGCAGAGCTTTCCCTCATCTATTCTGAATTAACTGCAGCCATTGTTCTTTGCTCTCTTGAGGGCTATACCTATTCCTAGAACTAATTCAAATTAGCTGTCCCAGTTAATTAAAGCATCTTAATTAATGGAAAAATACAGAGTCTTTATCAGGCACTCCTTGGCTGGAATACAGCCTAAGATACCACAGCTGAGCAGAAAAGAGATATTTTCTTTTATGATTTAAATAGCTTGCTAATATGAAAATGTGGTTATAACCAAACTCATATGAGGGTGAAGTTGTTTTCCCACAGGTATAACCCAAATGTGGATTGTTACTCCATTTCCACTCAAGCTCCCACTGAAGGCAGGGTGGTGTTGGCAAGGAAGAGCTGGTTTTTTGTGGGATGACTCGCAGAGGAAATGCAAGCAAAGATATAAGCAGGGAGAGTGTGAAAACACTCTTACTCACTTCCCTGTGAGAGGAGACAGGGGGTGACCACTGAAAATGGCTGGTATTCTTCCCCTCTGCCCTCCCAGCCCTGTGGTCATCAGCTGGGTCAAAGATGGCAAGGAAGACAGGGACAAGCTGTGGTCCTCCTTGCTCAGACACCCTGCCCCAGGCACAGGGTGTGACAACCAGTGGAGCCATCCAAACAACCCCACATGAACCCTGCAGCTGCATGGGCCAGGCAGCCAAAGGCACAAGCTGACCTTCCACCAGGACACGCACAGTTCCCTCCTCATGGAGACAATATTCTTCTCTTGCTGTTTCCAGATTCACCAGCTGAGCAGGAGAATTTTATTTGGTCACTGAGTTCCTTTCTTCAAGTTTTTTGGGAGCTTCTCCATTCCTGATTGGTGCTTGCAGCTTCTTTGCTGCCCAGGGTCATCTGGCTCCCAGCAGAAATGTGTCTAAGCAACAACGGATGCAAGTTTTGGAGCCCCCAGGAGTTCCCTCTGAACAGCAGCAGCAAAAAAGAGAAGCATTTTATAAGCACTCACCAGTATGACAAATACAATGGTACCATTTTTAGAGGACACATTAAAACAAGCAAAGTAATTACTATGCAGTTTAATTAGCTCAGAATTTAATCACCCTTGCAATTGAGAAAAGAGACCAGAGTCTGTTTCTAAATTAGGCAGCACAAAATTACTCAGTGCCTATCCTGGAACATCAGGTAGGTAAATCTATGTACCTTTTATGTCTCAAGCATATGACACAATCATCCCTTTTATTCTCCATCCCATCAGTAATTCCAGTGATCCACCAGATCCTTTAAAACAATCGGCAATAAACAAGAGTGATTATGAATCCCACTAAGCTGCAGTTTGTGCAATACTTTTTCCAGCATTAAATTTTTTCTGCCACCACAGATAAAAATGTACTTGGCTGATCAGGACAGGAGAATTCCATTTTTATTCCTGCAATATTTGCAGAAGAATGCCCCATCCATTCTGGTTTAGAGAGGGAGAGGAATGAGAAGCATTCCCCTTGTGAACACTTTTCTGTGCAAAGGCCGTGCAAGATGAATAGTTTTTGGTCTGATACATCAACAAAGCAGATAATTTCTTCCATTCTTCTTCAAGCTGCTGTGAGCTTCTTTACGCTTGGCTCAGACAGATCCCTCTCTTCCAGTTCGCTTCATTTTTCTTTCCTGTATTGGCTTTTGTTGAGACTGGGAAACTGTCTGACAGTCAGCTGGTGCCACACTCAGGTGCTTTAGAAAAAGAGAGGGAGGATTTTAAAGACATGGTGTTTTGCTCTATTGGATACAAGGTCCTGGAAAGTAGGAACACAACTGCACTAGGGTGTTGTAGGTCCAGCTACTGTTATGGATAGCTGGGCAAGAGGGGTGCATGGAATGAACCTCAGGGAAATGAGAATAGAGGTAAGTTAGAATGCAGATTTGCAGAGTGTAACAGAGGTAGCTGGAGGTGCTCTGAATCAAAAAATCCACCAGCTGATGAGGGTCACTAATGTAAGGATCAGAAAGTTGTAAGTAGAAGCAAAGTGGACTTCAGCAAAATGTTAAGAAGAATGAGTATAATGAAGGATGAAATCAAGTCAATGATGATTCAATCGAAGAGAGCAGTGTGCAATACTCAGCTTGTCAGTATCTACTTCTCAGTATTGGCCATCATTTAAGGTGTCTGTAGCTGTGCTGTTAATATGTTAATATGTCCAGCCACTACAATGAAGATTTATGTGCCATGCATGGAATCAAGCACATCATTGTCCTAGGAGCCCTACTCCAAAAACACAGGTGAGGATACCCGATGCACACAGGAATATATATATGTCTGTGAAGAACAGACACACACACACAAACATATATATATATATAAAAGTGTGTGTGTATGTGTGCATATATATATGAGATATATATGATCTATTCTCTTATATTTCCAAGAGGTGTTGAGAGTTGCCTTGTCTCAAGACCAAGTCAAACAGGCACAGCCACCCAGAACTAGTTGGTCTGTGTGAATGAAGGAAGAACCAGCAATCTCCTTTTTCCAGGCTCTTCCCAGGAAAAGGTAATCTTATTTTTTCCTAATGAATTGTTAGAAGCTCCTTTTACCATGCTGGATTATTTAAAACTTGCTCAATTTTGCAGTGGGTTCCCTGGGATTAATATTTTAAGTGCTCCTGTAGTGAGCATTAACAAAATTTGGGAGAGGCCATTGCTGTCTTGTTGGATATTGATTTCTGTTGATAAGGAAGCATTTTGACTGGGTTACAAAGTGTCCTTCTCTAAGATGCTTAAAATAGGACCAAGGAACCATTATGATATAAACTAATCTGCTGGACATCAAATTTAGAGATGATCCTGAAATTGTTTAGACATCGATTCTTTGTTATCTTTTCCTGTGGAGCATATTGCTCAATTCTGTTACCATTGAACTGCTGTCAGAAGGAAATTTCAGTGAGCAGCAGCAACACAGAAAATTTAAAATTTATCTACTTTTTTTTTTTTTTTTCCCCTAGAAAAGACTTTGGTCTTTTTGCTATTTTCACAGTAGGAGCCTGGAATCAGAGAAATTGCGGCTTTTATATATTTTTACTGCACTTCAGTGGAACAAGGTTATTATGGTTACTAAGCCAGCTGGCCATGAGAGAATAGATGTTTCAAATGTGTCACAGTGCTACTCTCAAAACTGTAAAAAAGACCTCAAATTAAAGGATACCAGGAAGTTACCTAGTCCCATAGAATTGGCCCATGCAAAAATAGGGAGAAACTGGGACACTTCTTCCCCTTCTGAGTTCATTCCTATTTGTTTACTACTTCTGAGAGCCTAGGATGAGAAGAACAATCCACAGCATGTGCAGTGTGGGCCTGAGCCAAAACCCATAGAAATCAATTGGAAATTATCTTTCCTGGGAGGTGGACTAGGCTTGGTATTAATCACAAGCTGCCAAACCTTAAGTAGTTGTGTTTGTGTTAATGCAATGTTGTATTGCATAACAGGTCCTGTTCTGATTTAAATCTTCTCTTTTTTCCTAGAAGGGGTAGGCCATTTAAAGTGCCACTGGCTTGAAATGAACAGAAGCTTCCAAGAGCTGTGGGAAAATGTTCTGGGATCCTTTTTGTATCTGAATATGATCTCATGAGTTTCTCAGTACTTGTGTATCTGAGAGCAGGTTTCACCAGATGAATTAGAGCTCGCCTGTGGTTCAATGCAAGACATGGCAGATCTTTCACCTGTTGGGAATAAATAAAGAAATCTGTTTTTTTCAAACTGACCCCAACATCTCAGTCTAAATAGCATTCTAAAACCAGCAAGGAAACTACCTGGAAAAAAGCAAAATCTTTGTGCTCCTTAGCTTGGCTCACCATCCTACCTATGTTTGTTCTTCCCCCCTTGAATGCATTAACCTTTTTTCTCCCCCCATTTCCATCCCCAGCCTGACAGGTCACCATGCAGGCAGTGTTGTGGATACCTTGGCTGTATTCTAAGCAAGCTGGAGCTACCATTTTAAAACCTTCTTCTGATTCATGAAGACTATGAAATAACTGGTCCCCCATGTGTCCACGGAGGCACAGCTCTGTCCTGGCTGCATGTAGTCTCATACTGAAGGTCTAGGTATAAAGCTAATGCATTCATAAAGAGACCCTGGGAAGAAATGCTTGTATTTTTTAGGAGACAAAATCTTGTACACTTTTTTTTAAAATAGGTGTTTTTTCCTCTTTGTTCAGACCACATTATATTGCCTTTCAGGGTGGGATTAACTGACAAAACCAGCCTAACCCAAGAGCCTTGACCACAAACCCTGGGAAGGAAATGAGGTTTTGCCATAGCTATTTCCTTGCTACCTGCACCCAGAGACAAGATACTGTGGTGAAATGTTTACTGTCCTTACTCAGTCAGTAGTTGAGGGTAGAAGTCCAGATCTAGCAGAGAAAATAGGTGTCTCCCACACATTTATCTCCTGATGAAGAGCAGAGCCATCAGCTAGTCCCTGTGGCTCTCTAGATTGTGCATGGGGACAGAGAAGTGCCTCCAAACATGCAAATCCACAACATCCTCCTCAGAAACCACAGCCACAGAAAACAGAGAGGAAAATACAAAGGAGTAAATCTTAGTTCCTGTTTGTCTCCAGGAGGGGAGAGACTATCTTTGTGTCACAGAGAGCCACCTTGTTCCATTCAGGATAGGCAGCTTGTCCTCATTTCCCCTAAATGGATACCAAGGTGTTTTTTGGGAACTGGCAAAGGAAAATCACCCTTTGAAGCTAAGCAGCTGGCAGGTGTTTTATCCTTTTTTCCAAAAATAATGCCTGTTAAAAGCTCTCTTCCATGGCATGAGAGACCCAGATCCAGTTATTGTCATTTTCAGTGAGGATCGACACAGACTCTTTCCATTTTCCACAACAATGTTGGGACCAACAGGCAATTAACTATTGTGAGGGGAGGGCTGGGGAAGCACTTTTGGTCTTTCCTGCTAAACTCAGTCCATTCTTGCATTTTCACCATTGTGTCTGTGGGCTGATTTAATGTCATTTTTGCTGTAAAGGATATTTTTGATTTGGAATGAAAATTTTGATGGAAAAAATGCCAATCCTATTGACAAATTTTCACCTCCTAGCAGCAGACTAGTCAGTAATGAAATTTTCATTTTATTAAGAGACCTCAATGTCATTTTTATTATGAGTGAAAAGAAAAATACATGAGATTTATCTTTTGTGTCTCATTTCCAGCCTTAGGGAGAGAATGTATCCAGAAGCAACTTTAACTATCAGTAAAGAAAAAGAGTTATTTGAATGTGTTGCATTAGCTAATTACTGTTACCTTCTGTGTATGAAAAAAAATCTGCAAAGAATGGGAGAATTTTGTCAGTGAAGTTTAGCTTTGTAAAATTTATGACTACAGAATTCAATAAAATCAGTAGAGTTGAATCAACAGAGAATTCGGCTTCAAAAGAATGAATACCCCATGGTCTCAACAGACCAGTTTGTCAGTAGGCTGTCAGTTCCTAGAAATCAACTGCATTAGCTCTGGGAAACAGGGGTAACTGTAAACAACTCTAACAGAAGTTTTTGAAAATATTGCATTCTTTCATGTCTGGATTTTCTGTTTCATGTACCCATAGCTAAACGAGGCAAAATTGCTAGTGACTTGGAAAGTGTATTGGGATGTCTCTAGTTAAAAGGGATGAGACAGGTATCGTTGGGAAGTGGAGCGAAAACAGCTGAAAGAACTGAGAGCCACAAATTTGATGTGCATTTTCTGTCATTTTTGTCTTATAGAAATATGAGGTACTTAATGAGAGCTGCTTCTCATAATACCATATTTCCATGCCCTTGGCAGCAGTACAGAGGTCAAATCTTCACAGAACTATTATTTGGTGATCCGTCTGATGTGCTGAGCACAAACATGCTTTTCTTTGCCCTGGGCATGCTGTATTACTTCTATTCCCACTTGCTTCTTTATTAAACATGCATATTGTGTCAGCAATGGAGAGCTGCCACTGGCCTCATTTCTGCAAGCTGCCTTGGAGTCTGACTCAATGTATTTCACTGAGAGTCTGGCAATTCAGGAGAGCACTTCTCACCTGAGCAGTCCCTTAGTTTCCAGTCTGTCACCTTTGGTGAATAGTGGCATAAATGTGGATGATCACTGCAGGCACACATGACAGAAGTAGGTGTCATGTTTCTTAATATTTCACCCTTCCCAGGTGACGGCAGTGAGCCTCTTTTCTGAAAGAGACCAGAATGGAAACATTGTGGGTTTGCTTGAATGTTTGAACCTTCTTTCCCTATTTTTTTTGGATTTGTTACTAGGATGAGGTGGCACTAACAGTCTAGTTCTCCTGCTAGATTATTCTTATAACTATACTCAGGAACAGATGCAATTTCCTCATAAGATCAGGTTGTTCTAAAAGTCTGTGCAGACTCATGCAAATGTATATAATTTAATGCAAGAGTGAATCATATGCTTCTCAGACTGTATAGGCTGAGACTTTAACTCTTGTTGGTTGTTAAATTCTGTCCCTGAGAGCCCCTAATCCACATGGTTTTCTCACGTGTTTTATTGTCCAAAAGTGTCGCAAATATATACCTTGTGTGAATTAAAGTCTGCTAGAAACATGAAAGAGTGGTCAGAGGGACCTGCAGGAGGTGGCATGTGGGTCACAGATCAGGCCCAGGGCGAGTGCTGACAGTCAGACTCCTAGAAAGATGTGAAGTTTGAAATTCACGTTTGGGTCAGAAAGCTCTGCCCAGGAATGGCTGTAAAAGTGATCGATGTAATTAAGCTGATTATGAACCAGTTTAGTTCTGATGAAATCCAGCTTTTGCAGGGAGCCAGCAAAAATCCTCTGTAGCCCATCACACTCCGATAAAGCTCTTTTTGCTGCTGTATACACCCCATGAAAAGACATTTCACACACAGCAAAGGCCATATACACACACTAAGATTTTGTTTGTGATGCTGTTGGAGTCTGGTGTTCTCTGACCAGGCTCCTTCAGATAATCCATGATGGGGGTTTAAAGTTCAATTTCAAATTATTAGTGTAAAGACTTTTCTAGTCTTACTTGGGCTTTCACAGGCTTAAGAATTTAAAGCAATGACATTACAACAATTCATGTTTTCATTTTTCATCTCTACGCTAAAACTAATAACTCTATTACAAGCAGTAGGCAAACATAAGCATACCCTAAAAAAGCCCCAACAGTTACAAAACTGGATAAGCATCTACATTTATGAAAGAATTAAGCGAGTCTCAGATAATTTAAATGAAGAAAATGTTGGACATGTTTCTCCATGCAAGTCTAGAGCTTGCTGTGAGAGCCAAGCTGTTTAAACCAAGTCCTTTCTGGCATTCGAGATCCATTTGAACCTTTAAGAAACAGACAGGCACCTTGTGGGTTTGCCGTCTGCACAAGCATTTGCCCAAAAAGCCATCAAATGCATTCAGAGGCAGAGAGGGCCGTGAGGCGCTATTAGACCAGATGTAACATCTGGCTCAAGGAGTCTCTAAGGCCTGAGATGGCAGCAATTGAGAGGGTATTTCAGAGGAATTATCCACTTGTGGTAGCCCTGTCTCAATAGCCTTCTCATCGACATCTGCTCCTACTGATGCTTAAAAAGAAGGCACATCCACCTTCTGTCTGATCTTGAACATCTGTTGGTTAGTTCTGTATTAGTCTTAGAAAGTGAAAGTGGGGTTAAATTACTGTGTGAAGAGAGAGAAGCAAACTGAAAAATACAGTATTAAAGTATGCAGACTCCCAAAATACAGCTAACCTTGCTCAGCAGATAGAAGTCAAAATGAAAATGCCTGTCCAGCAGCCTCTCACATGTAAAACCTTGCATATACAGGTTTATGTAAAAAGCTGTATATATAGAGTGGGAAATGAAGTTAATCTGTTCTTGGCAAATAAAATAGATCGGGAAGTGCAGAGAAGTGATCTGTTTTTCTGTGGATGATAATTGTTTGCACTGATGTGAAGCGACCCCAGGGAGGTCAGCTTTTGTGCTTGTGGATCTTAATTGAAGTCAGCTGGACTAAAAGCATGTGTGGTTTCATGGAGCCCCATTTCAGGTTTAGGGTGATTAATGTATTCACAGTTCTACCCTGTACGCTGGCCAAATGAGGGCTCCACCATTCTTGGCACCATCCCTCTGCCACTTCAGAGATAATCCCTCCCTCAGAGACCTCTCTAGACAAACCATGACTGGGGAAGATCAGAGAAGAGTGGCCTGTCTGTTGGCACAGATTATTCAGTGTATGCATATGCTTTTTTTAAGGAGAGGATTTTTTTGGTCCTGAATTTATTTAAAGGTATCTGCTACAACTGGTAGGTAGGAACACTTTGGAGAGAGGTCTTACATGTATGAGTTATCCAAGGAGGAAAACCAGAACAGCAAAACCTGTGGGAAGAGCTGAAGAAGCCTGAGTGAGGAGCAAAGCAAGACAGGTAAGACGGTGCAGGATGACTGCCATGCTGAGGGGTCAAACAGTGCATTTGGCTTTGGAGGAAGAATCGTGGGACAGGATACCATTAGGAAACCTGACTGGGGGAGGCAAAGAAACAAACACCTGGGCAAACTGACACCAAAGCACCCATATGAAACTATCACCCTTCTTATTTTGTGCTTATAGGAGTGATATGGCCAAGCAAATAACTTCAGTGTTTGACAGAGACAGGACTCTCATGAGGGGCTGGCCAATGCAGCAGCTGCCTTTAACGTGTCTGGCTTTACTGTGCATGCACAACAAATCCTGGCAGGTAGGGCTGACTGCTCAGGACCACCATAGCAGACTGGAGTTGTAGGCAGGACCTCTGTCGTGTAGATGTTAGATTGTTGCTGGCACTCACTTTCACCCAGGGCTGAGTCAAGGTACAAACCCGCCTGAAGCACTTCCTGGAAGGTTCACAAAGCCATCAGTCAATGCTAAAATGGTGTGTGTGATACGCCCTTCTGCAGGGAATGAGCACTCAAGGCACCAGAATGGAGAGAAAAGGAATGAAAAAATAAAAGGAAATTCACAGATATACCAAAAACCAGATGCATTTTTCATGTCAGGTGCATTATTTACTATTACTACCTTGAGAGATTATATTTTACTTGTGGCTGCAAAAGTGAATGAAGATAATGAGACACAATCAAGGCTGTATGAACATCCCAATCAATGTGCACATCATGCCCTCCACCAAACCTGGCATTGCACTCCATTTAGCAAGAAGTTCTCTATCCCCATACTGGATATGAAAAAGCTTTTCAATCTGTTGGAATCATATCAGGCATTTAATTAAGTATCTCTGTATTTGTTCAGTTAGTGAGAAAACAAGCTGCTTAGTGCAGGCTATTTTCGAGCAGGAACTACACAAGGGTGAGTCTGCAAATTAGGAATGGTTGTTAGAATCACTATTATAGGGATCATTCTACTCTTCCATGTGCCGCTTGTTTTCTCTCACAGGCTTCTTGTTCCATACAACTGACTTTAATGGCTACAGTTGCATTTCTGAGCCAGTGAAGGGTCCCAAAAAACTACAGTTTAATGTTAGTGAATGGAAAGCAGAAAAATAACTTGTTATATTAGCTCAGAGTTAGGGAAACAAAGCAACAAGTGAATAACAGTACTGGCAGGTGAACTTGGAAAGAGCTGTAATAGAACTTTTTCCATCCACAGTTCTACTCAAAGAGATAACCTGACCTGTATGGAGTTGCAATGGAAAGGATTTAATGTAGGAATTTTAGAATTATTCAGCTGATTTGATCCATTCCTAGAAGAGCACAAAAATGTGACAGAGCTGTTGCTACAAAAACTACTTCATACTTTTTGAAAACACAGGGTGTGAATCTCTTCTCCTGAACCAGCAATTTTTCAGCAATTACTTCTGAGCCGTGGAAAGCGAACCATTCGTTTAGAGTTGTCAATTGCACAGAAATCTTCCGTGTTGAGCAGTTTTTCATGCAGCAATTTTTAAAGGATTAAATCCTGAGGAGTAGTTTCTGTGAATTTATCCCCATTCACTGGAGGTGGTGTATATTATTGAGTCCAGTAGTGAATTTCTTGCAAGAGAATGGTGTTTCTTGGTCAGATTCCTGTGTCTGGTTTTATGACAACAGGATATGTAAGTGTCACGATCCGCTTATAGTGGGGTGTCATGATGGTTCGTTAGCTGATCCCAAAGTGCAAAAGACAAACAGCAGGGGACTATCAGTTTAATCACAACAGATGCACCTTTATTAAGGGCCAAAAACAATAAATGTGATAGTGGGGTCAGAAAAGAAATAAAAAGGAGAGAGAGACAGAGAGAAGGGGGAGTGGGAATAGCTACCAACACAGGCGAGGTCCTCAGTGGTCCGGATGATGGGGATCCGTCTTGTTGTGTTGGGGAGAGTCTCCAAAGTCCTGCCCAACCCAGGGGTCCAGTTATAGTCCACAGAGGGAAAAAGGGGGGAACATGCCTATTGAAATTGCTCATCCAGGCAGAACAAACACAATGACGAATAAGTCCATTGAAGTTACTGGAGAAGAACAGGTCATGTCATTCCCCCCCCACCACTCTCAGTCTCAGTCCTTGGGGAGAGGGTTCTTGATCTCCGTCTGTCACGGTGGTAACGAGGCAGATGAGGGGTCTGCAGTGAGAGACCACCAGGGTCACCCCAACAGTTCATTGGGCTTAAAGGTGGAGAGTGAAGCAGGAATTGCAGCAGGCCGCTCTGTGCTGGGTCCACGCTGGGTCTTCGCCAAGTCCTTGCCAACTTCTTGCCAAGTTCTTGCCGGGCTTCGTTCGGAACAGAACGGAACGGTACAGCGGCTGCACCTGCACTGTTGCCTTCTCCAAGCCGGATCTGCAGTGGGGGAAGGGAGTTCCTTCTCGTGGCAATCGGCAGGCAAATGAGTGAGGGTCTTCAGACGGCCTCTTACAATAAGTCAGGACATAACATATAAATTCGCAGGCATGGCTAAAAAGAAACGGGATGAGTTTTCTGAAAAGCTCCATGAACTTGGCTTGCAGCTGAGGGGCAGGGAGGAAAGGAATGGGAGCAGCCACTGTTACTCCTGGAAAGCACCAATGCTTTCAGCAGCACAGCGTGGCTGGCACACATCCTCTCCTGCCAGGGCAGCTCGTTTGGCTTGCTAAAACTCGGGCATAGCAAAATAGACAAAGGGTCTGTATTTTTCTGCTGCCCCAGCAATCTGCTGCCCTAATTACGTGCCTACAACTTATGCTGGCTCATAACCATGTGATGAAGGCTGTTCCTGAGGGCTTTTTTTTTGAAGCAGCTCTTGATTCTTAGGACAAGAGAGGCAAAGGTATAAAGCTATAAGCCCTCAGGAAGGGAAATAAATAAATTAGAAAATATTTTGCTGCAGCTTCAGAATGAAATTTTTATTTGTTTCAAGGCCTCCCAAGATGATGTGGACCAGAAAAGTGTTACCACAATACAGAGTCATATGTATGAGGCAGAAGATTCAGAAACTAAATCTAAGATACATCATTAGCTTTAGTGTTCCAGTAAAAGAATAAAAGCATAAACCAACAAAT